AATATAAAAATAATAGATCACACAACAAATAAGATTATTGTGGAAGATGAGAAGAATTATTATACCAAGAAACTAAAATTGTTTTTACAAGATTTGATTATCTCAGTCTAAATCTAAACAATTCTCTCAAATTTTTAATGTATACAACAATGATTTAATTGTTATGTCGAGTCTCTAAAGAACTTACACCTTGTGAAATATTTATAGAAGTCGATTTTTGAAGTTTTGGATGAAGTAGAATACAAAACTACGTCAAAAACTAAGCAGGAGTGAAATTCCTCCCCCACAAGTGGGGCACCACCAGGGCCGATCTTGTGATTTTCGGGGCCCGGGCAAACTCCGAAAATTGGGCCCCTCAGAGTCAATGTAAATGCAAAATTCAACGGTGTATTATGTAACGTATTACTAACTTAAAACTGAACAGTAGATCAACAAACAAATATAAAGAACAAAAGATTTATATTATAAAGTAAAAAAACCGACAAGGCCGACAATAACCATTCATATAAGCCTACAAGGCCACAATTATATAAGCCGACTAGGCCACAATTACATAAGCCGACAAGGCTTCAAACATTTTCAATATATTTAATATCAAGTTATGACAAGCCATTGCTTACTTGAGAAGTAGAATTTCGACGAAAATTATAGAATCACGTCCTTCAAAATCCCACCGTCACTTCTCACAAGACTGAAATCAAAATTTCACATTGACCAGGGCACCAATACAAAGTCTTAAGCTATGAAATTTACCCTTTTTAATCAATAAAATGTTAAAACTTTCAAAAGCCTAAGCTTTATTTCACACACAACTTCAACTTAATCTAGATAAATGAAAAACGACTCTTCCAAGTTCCATAGATTTAAGATTATCCCTTTCTGAAGAGTTCTCGATAGAAGATATAAGAATCCAAATTCACATCGAAAAGTTGAAGTAGATCAAAATATATCTCAAGTAAATTAACTGTCTATAAACAATAAAAAATGTAAAACGGAATTTCATAGCCAACTGGAAGTCTAGAAGTCGGAAGATACTCCTTTTAGGTGAAAACATTAGCAAGAAGCCAAGAAGTTTTTTCTTCATGTTCCTCCTCTTCGTCAATACCATTTATCTTTGCACCACGAACAATAAGTGGA